AAACTGATTAGTTTTGCCTATAGCCAACATCACCTTTGATCTGGATTACTGTAGAAATCTACTGACAGATCCCTGTTCTTAAGTGGCTTTTCCCCACTACAGTGTATACAGTGTATTATGTCCTCAGAGGACAGGTTTCCTTTTAAACCTAAACCCCCTGTCCAAAACCCTTCCTGGCTTCCTGACTTTTCATTCAAGTCCAAAGTTAATATAATTGCTTAAGATCTCTGATGATGTTTTCCACCACTGCCTCTTTGACCCTTCTCCTTTCTTCACACAGGCTACTCTAACCACATTGGTCTCCTTTCTGACACTCTAACGTACCAGGCATGGTCCCATCTCAGACGTCTGTACTTGCACTTACCTCTCCTGAAAACCTTTTTCTCTGATAAAGCTCACCCTGTCACTTCCTTCTGATCATGGTTCAAATGGCAACTTACCCATTTCACTAGTAACTTTATTTAAAATTGTATCTCTCCCAGAATTCCTATCCCTATTCTCTTTTGGAACAGCATAGAGAGCCTAGAAACAAATCCACTTTTCCATGGTCAATTTATTTACAACAAAAAGCCATGAATATACAATGCATAAAGAACACTCTTTTCAATAAACAGTATTGACAAAACTGGATACCACATGCCAAAGAATGAGATGGGGCAATTATCTTACACCCTACCCAAAATCACCACAAAATGGATTCAAGGTTTGCACATAAGATCTTAAACCATAAAATTCCTAGAAAACAAAATTTGGTAGTCTCCTTGACATCAGTTTTGGCAATCATCTTTTAGATTTGACACCAAAGGCAATGGCTAAAAAAAGCAAAAATAAAGTAGTGGAACTACATCAAATTAGAAAGCTGCTACACAGTGGAGTAAACCATTAACAAAATGGAAAGGCGGCATAAAGAATGGGAGTAAATATTTGCAAACCAAATATTTGCTTAATACCCAAAATATATAAATACAAAACATATATAAATATCCAATCTAAATATACAACTCAACAGCAAAAATCCTCACAAATAATCCAATTAAAATGGGAAGAACTCAATATTTATTTTTCTAAGGAAGGCATAGACATGGCTAGTAAATACATGACAAGGTACTCAATATCACTATCAGGGAGATGCAAATTAAACCATAATGAGAAATCACCTCACACATTTTAAAATAGCTATTATCACAAACAACAGTAAATGTTGACAAGGACGTAAAGAAAGAGGAACCCATGTGCACTATTGGTGGAAATGTTAATTGGTGCAGTCATTGTGGAAAATAGTATGGAGTTCCCTCAAAAAATAAAAAATAAAACTACCATGTGACCCAGCAATTCCACTTTGGGGTATTTATCTGAAAGAAATGAAAACACCAACTTGAAAAAGCATACACACTCCTAAGTTAATTGCAAAATTATTTACAACAGCCAAGATATGGAAGTAACTTAAGTGTCCATTGACAGATGAACACATTTATCTGTATGTATGTATACCACATTTTCTTTATTCATCCATCAGTCAAGTATTTTTTTTCAAGTTAGCGAAATTGCTACAACATGGGAGATATATGTGTGTATGTATATATATATGCATATATGTGACAGATACATGTATGTATGTATGTATGCATATGCATGTATGCGACAGATACATGTTCTTTACTCATCCATCAATGGATACTTAGTTTTCATAGCATGGATATTGTAAATAATGCTGCAATGAACATATATACATAGATATATATGCTGAAATAGTATTCATCCATTAAAAATAATTAAATATTGCCATTTGCAACAACATGGAACTACTTTGAGGGCATTATGCTAAGTGAAATAAGTGAGACAGAAAGACAAATACCTTATCATTTCACTTATATGTGGAATAAACCAAACAAAATTCAAAGACACAGAGGACAAACTGCTGTTTGTTGAAGTTGGGGGTGAGCAAAATGGGTGAAGGGAGTAAAAATGTAGTAATGTACAGTTATACTATTTAATAATACTGTATTGTATATTTGAAAGTTACTAAGAGAGTTGATGTTAATAGTTCCCATCATAAGAAAAATATTATAACTCTGTATGATGATAAATGTTAATTAGACTGTGATCATTTGCAATATATAGAAATATCAAATCTGTGTTGTATACCTGAAATTAATGTTTTCTCAATTATGTCAATAAAGGCAATAAAATTGCAGCTCCTCCAAAATTCCTATCCTGTATTCTTTTTAACCTGATTTATTTTATTTATTAGCATTGATAGCCATCTGACATAGTTTATCTGTTTATTGTCTCCCCAGTGGCCTGCTTGTCTTATTCATCAAGCATCTGGAACAGGGCATAGTATATGGTAAGCATTCAAGAAATATTTTCTGAATGAGTAAATAAGTGAAAATAGAAGACCACTGATTCTTATATATTAATTTCAAAATGGAATATCTTACTAATTGTACCATTGCTCCTAACAAGTTTTTCAGATGACTGTTCATGATGTTTTTATTTTTATAGCCATATCTGCAAATAATTATAACTGTTTTCTCTTTCTAGTATTTATGCTCAGTGTGCTATCTTTTCAAATAACACACATATGTACACACACACCATGTGAGGAGTACATTTCCCCATAGTTTACTATAGATTTTATTAGAATTATAGTAGGGTTTTAGTAAATTATTTATTGGAATTTATTAATGTGATAATGTCTTTTTACTTGACCTATTCACAGGATACATTGCAATTGTAGGTTTGTCAATAGTGAACTTTCTTTGCATTCAAGTAATTAGTCTTACTTTGCCATGGTATAATCTCTTTTTAATGCATTGGTTGATTATGTTCAGTGTTCTTAAAGGGCAAGTTGCATTTATCTATGTATGTAAAACTGGTCTTTCTTCATTTTGTGCACTCATAGTCAAGTATATTATTAATATTATACTAACCTCATAAAGTAAAATTTTCTATGATCTGAAGTAGTTCAAAATTAAATATTCCTTGACAATGTCAAACATTTTATTTATGAGAGTATCAGGCCAAGCATGCCTATTATGTGTTTATAATTATATGGTTGTGTATGTGATTTTCTTAGAGGAAAGGACAGATTTTCTTAAAAAGAAGTATTCATAATTTTCCAGGGTTAATAATCTGTTCTGGTATTTTATTTCTTCTTTGGAAAAGTTTAGTTATTTTTATGTTTTTTTTTTCCACTCAGATTTTACATTTATATCCCTAATAAATCTATGCCTGTGTTTCTTCTTTCTAACTTCTAATTCTTTGTGCTTGGGATTTTGATTGCGGTACTTAGGAAAGGAACATCCCTGCTGAACTCCTTTGTCCTTTGACAATCTGAAAAGAAACTGGGAGAGACCTGCACCTGTGGCCTTGCTACAGGAACTCAAATATGAGCTAGTAGCAGTTGGTGGTGAGAGAACTCCCCATCTCTGTGAGATGCCAGGGTGTCAACAAGGCTGCCAGCAACATGGGTGCCAGCAACATGGGTGCCAGCAGCATTTGGGAGTGCTGAGGTATCTCAGTCCAGCAAGTAAGTGGTCCAGAAATCACTAATTGTGAAGTCCTGACTGTGACCTAAGTCTGACTTTTCATTGTCCAAGAAGGTAAGAGCACTGACCAGTGAAAAAGCCTAATTAATGCCTAAGCGAGCAGTCCTAAGGGGTCCTAGGTATTTAGGATGACTATCTGGGGGCAAAAAAGTAAAAAAAAAAACAACAAAACAAAATTGCCCGTTGTGTCTTTGAGGTAGGGAGTCGGAACCACTACAATTTTAGTATTAAATATTATCTTATTGCCTTAGGCTGATGAGACCAGGTCATTTGGGTAAAACAGGACTTTTCTACCTTATACCTCTCCCCTCCTTATTTTTTCTTTTTAGAATCCCAGATAGACTTTTCGATTCTGCATGCCCTTAAAAGGGAGAGATTCTCAGAGTGTGGTATACTAGTCACCTTTTCAGCAATAAGAAATCTCATTCTTGAATATACAGCCAGTGGTTCACTGGGTATGTTTCCTTGACATCACGTTAGGCACCTCAAATTCTATGTCCCTTATTGAATTGAGAACTCTCCCCTATGTCCTTGATGCCTACATTGTCTATATTCATTGGTTGCCACTATTCATGTACAATTAAACAAGAGCCTTAAGAGTTTGGCTCAGTGCTTTGCCTTCCCACTCTCCACATGTAGTATCTAAAACTGTTCATTTTATACCCTCCCTTCATGTTCCTAATAACTTCTACCTTTTGCACACTTACCTCAAATATTCTAGTTTAGGCTCTTGGATTCTCCTTTTGAATTTATCAGTGACATTTAATACAGCGAATAGAAGTGAACCAGGATGCAATAAACCAGGAAGCCCTAGTAGGTCCAGCTAAGTATCTAAAGAGGTTCTTTGTAATCCATCTCTAGCTATGTGAGCCTGAAACATAGGTGCTCCCTGCCTTTGGTGTGACAGTATTTTGATTGCTTGCCCTCACTTCCTCATATTCTTGATCTTTGTTTTAGAACCTACTTGGTACTCTGACCAGAGATCTAATTAACTCAACCACAGGGGTTTAGAAAGAATCAAGATCAAGAGAATATCTGATTGGCAAAGATACATAATTTGATGGCACAGTACTGGCAGGGGTATGGTGAAGCAGGCATGCATACATTACTTACAGGAGGTTATGTTGGTAGGACCTCTTTGGAGGGCAATTTGGCAATGGCTATTAAGTACAGAATTGACCCAGCATTCCATTTTTAGGAACTTATCCTGCAGATCTATATATACACATGTGCATAAAGATATATGCACGGAAGTAATCACTGCAGAATAGCTTACAGGGACAAAATAAAAACCAATATAAATGTTTTGCGTAGGTATAATGAATAAAGTATGTTCAACCAAATAGAGGAATACTATGCAATTAAAATGAATGAGGTAGATATGTATAAGAAACAATCTCTAAGATTTTATAATAAAAAACAGCACAGCTAATGTGCAGCACAGGCTATCATTTGCATAAAAGTGCATACATACATACATACACACACATATACTTATATATGTATAGACTCTAAATGGATACACATACACAATCTACCACATGTAATCTATGGGCAGGAGATCAGGGATCCTGGGGCGTGAGTCTTTCATGGTACATCTTTTATAAAGTATGATTTTTTTTTTTTGGCCATGTGCGTGTGTTATTTAATTTAAAATAAACATAACAGAAAATAAGACCAAGTGGGAAGTCTTGATAGATGTAGTATAAAATATCAGAAAAACCTGTATATGTAAACTGGTAACATCTATGTCCTTTCCTCACATGGTAAGTAGAATATACACACACAAAAAAACATACAGTATTATGTGAGCAGGTAGTTTTAAGTATAACACGTACATTTGTATAAATGAAAAACTTATTAAATCACATTCAAAACAAGATACCTAATTGTCCTAAACTATAAGAAAGTATATTTAGATAAGGCATTCAAGATGGTGTTTTAATACTTTAACCCATGATAGTAGCATAAGTTTGCTTTTTAAAAATAAATGTACAATGTAATGTGTGCATAGCTGTTTCAGCTTCAGTTTCTCTGCAGGAGGATTTTGACTTTGACACATTGATTGCTAGCAGGACAATTAAGAAAAAATAAAGTGTATATCTTAGCATCAAGAAATTTAGCCTAGCACTTAATTGCTAAAACGCTGAACATGTTTATTGTTTTCTGCATACATCACATACTCAATCCCGATAAAGAATTATCCATGTATACAATAAAAAAGTGTCAACAACACCTACACTGAGCACATCGGGTAGCCTTCACTGTAAATGGCTGCCTGGAGAGTTACCTGAACTATAAAGAAATGTTTACCCCAAAAATTACCTCCCTGATTGTCCTGCCACATATAGGCCAGTTTTGATTAGCTCAGAAAATCTGTAGCATAAATGCTACCCAAGAAAGCTGGCCATAATGTAGCAGTTTTATACAAGATGGCTGAGGGCAGGGAGGTATTGATGCTGAATTTTTACTGAGTAATCAAAATTATGACTAATTGAAAGAACACCATTGTAAGATTTGTTAACTAAGAGAACATATTTTAAAAGTATTTTATGCACCAACAGTACACAAACAACAACACTGAGTTTCCAACATTCAAATGAAACATTCTCCAAAATGGTGGTAACCTAGAACTTGAAATATATTTTCTAATTGGAGCAGGGCTGTAAACCTGTCCTGTAGGGCCAACCCAAAAACCACTTTTTAGCACAGATTTTCCCGAAATACCATACATGTGAAATGTGTAAAAGACCTGAACAAATTCTTGAAATACTGGTAAAATTAAAGTACTGAATTGAAATGGGGACTATGACTGTTATCCGCCCAGAGAAAGAGCATATGCTAATATGGGAATCACTCAGAGACCACACAAAGATTAGCGAAAATTCTTTGTTGAGAAGGCCAAAAAGATGGTGATGTTGGGGGAGGGGCACGGAAGTCTTAAAGCCAAGTTTTGATTTGCCCAAAAGATACCTCTTTCTTGATCTCTCTCTCTGTCTCTCTCTGCCTAATAAACTAAACACAGGTAAGTTGTTCACAACCACCTGGAAGACAAAAGCCACATAGAGTTTAAAGCACAAACACAGCATGAGGAAGTGAGTGAGAGGGATCTGGGAGGTAAGTCTTGGGCACTTTGAGAACACAGGGCCAGCCATCCTTAGCTCCACAGTCCTGCGTAGTTCCCGTGGAGGCCTGAAGGGAGAGGCCCTCCGGCCACAAAGAGCTTCATCTCAGGCCAGTTGTAGCAGTGGGTGTAGAGCGCATTGGGGAACTCGCCGATGCCACCGAAGTAGTTCACCCACAGGTCATCATGGTTGAGCCAGCCTCTGCCGCAGGTGAGCTTCAGCTTCCTCCCCGTGGGCACAGGGGGAGAGCCCGGGGTGGTCGAGGCCCTCTCTTCCAGGAACTTCTGTGCGCGGATGTCGTAGAAGAGCAGGGAGCCATGACCTGTGCCCACTGTGACGATGTGCTGGTAGAAGCTCAGAGATCGCACCCCGGTGCCACCCTCTCGGGAGCAGAGCGGCCGGATGTTCTGCTGGCGCTGGCGAGGATCAAGGAAGGAGACGTGGGACTGGGAGCCCACGGCATACAGGGACAGTTCTTCGCAGTAGGTCAGGCACACATTCTCTCTGCAGTAGGGCAGCCTGACTGAGAGCAGCCTGGTCAGGGTGTTCCTGGCTTTCCAAAGGTGGAAGTAGCCGTCCAGGGACACAGCTCCCAGCTCCTGGTTCTTGCCACTGAAGGCCAGGGCCCGCACCTTCCGGTTACTGGGGTTGGTGCTGGCCCTGGGGATGGTCTCCATGTCCCTGGGACGGATGTGGCCATACACCGGGAGCCCTACGTCGCTGTGCCAGGCGATGCTGCCAGTGAACAAGTCGGGGTCAAAGCGCCACAGCGCCACGGTGCCGTCGCGGGAGCCACTCACGACCACGGTGTCGCTCATCCAGGCGATGGCGAAGATCCAGTCCTTGTGGCCGTGGCGGTCGCCCAGGCACAGCGGGTCGAGCGTGGGCAGCTGGTAGACGGCCAGGCTGTTGGGGTTCTCGCCGCCCGTGGCCAGCAGCGTCTTGGACGGGTTCAGCTCGATGGCGTGGATGCCGCAGCCCGGCTGCGCCCGGGCCAGCCCGGGGCCGCCGCGGTCGCGCATCAGGGGGATGCGCGTGAGCTGCCGCGACTGCACGTCCACCACGAAGAGCGTGTTGCACTTGGTGCCGCACACCACCTGCCTGGCGTTCAGCCACTGCGACGCGAACACCTTGTTGAGCGTGCCCAGGGCCAGCTCGCGCTCGCGCAGCAGCTCGGGCAGCCTCCGCACCGCGTAGCCGCGCAGCTGGCCCTCGAGGCCCGGCAGCCCGCCCGCCCGGCCCGCGCGCCCACCTCGCGGCCCCGCAGGTAGTGCAGCAGCGAGCGTCGCGCCGCCGGCCGCCGCTGCTTCTTGCGCTGCAGCGGCCCCTCCGCGTCCGCCGCCGCCGCCGCCGCCGCGCCCGCCGCGCCCGCCGCCGCCGCCGCCGCGCCCTGCGACGACGACGAGCCCGCGGCCGCCGCCTCGACCGCCGGCGCTTTCCGCTTCCTGCTACCTGTTTGCTGCGGGGCCATGCTGGGCGCCGGCCGGGTGGCGGCCGCGGCGGCGCGGCGGCGGCGGTGGCGGCGCGTGGCACCCGTGTTGGCCGTGGCGGCGGCGGGGACGGCGGCGCCTCTGCGTCAGCCGCGAGCGCGGGCTCTCGGGGACCGGGAGGCTGTGGCGATCGCGGGGCGAGGAGTCTACCGAGTCGGCGAGCGGCGGCGGCGCAGGAGGCGAGGGCGGCGGGGCGTCTGGCGGGGAGCGCGGGCCGGGGCAGCGGCGCGCGGGAGGAGCTGGGCGGCGAGGGAGGAGACGGTGGCGGCGCGGATCTAGGCGAGGGCGGGAAGTGCGGCCGGCGGGGCGGCGGGAGCGAAGTCGGTGTGGGACGAGGACGACGCGGGGGGCCCGAATGTGAGGGGGCGGAGGCAGCGGGAGGAGCCGGCGGGGAGCGGGCGTGGGGTGCTGGGTAGCACACTCCAGGGTGGGAGGGGTCGGAGAAGGGCGGATGGCGGGTGGGGATGGAGCCCGCGGCGGGGAAACTAGCCCCGGGCCAGGGCTCCCTGATTTCCCCCCCCACCTCACCCCCACCCCATCCCCAGCCGTCCCAGGGCGGACACTTCCTAGTGCGCGGCCCAAGCTCCCTGATATCCCACTGGGGGCATTCAGTACCCCCAGAACAGTCATCAACTGGGCTTCTTAAGATCCCTAGCAAATCAAACCAGAAACCTAAACTATAGTCAAATATAAGGCGAGAAGAACCCTAGCAATTATCTGTCGAAGAACCATTACGTGCACTTGGTGTAATCGTGCAAGACCCTTTCCACAATTAGCAACTGAACTTCAGGGGGGATGCAGGGGGTTTGGCAGAAGCAGGGACACCCTTCCCCTTAGGTCTGCCATGCTGCCTCTCCTGTCACAGCCCCCCTGCTGGTGTCTGTTATAATTTTTTCAACCTTTCCATTCAACCAGTCTTTCCCCTTAATTCTCAGATTCATGTCCCTGATTCCTGCAACAGAATCCCTTCAGGGTGCACCAGAATCCCTTCAGGACGAGTTCCAAAGGCAGTTCCCCAGGCGCCATTTCCTGACTTCAGCCCAGCCTCAGGAACCTAGAGGATTGCATTAACAATGGAGGTGGCAGAAAGAGGATGAGAGGCCTTGGGTTCTGCAATATCACGCCCACTGGTGATGGAATGGAAGGGAAAAGGTCCAGCAAAGGGATCCTTCTTTCCCCGCCCCGGTGAAGGGAAGTTTCTATCCTCATTGCCAACCACAGGACGAGGTCCGATAGCCTGGACAAAGCCCTAACATATGTGGAAGAGCCCCTGCAATGTTGTAGCAGGGCTCTGGGATGCACAGGGTTTCCATAAGCACAAATGGCGCAAAACTTTCCCGAAACACGCAGCCACATAGACACAATGATGGAGTGTAGGGGTTCAGAGAATGGGTTTACCAGTATCACCGTTTGGACGGTCCTTATTTAGTTCTACAGCCAATCCTGGCATGTCCACTCAGTGAATGGAGTGGCTTAGTAGTTTCTACTATATACACACACACCAATCTTTCTCAAAACGTGTTTTTTGAGATAGTATCTGTGGTGGGTTACATTAACTTTTCTACCAATCAGGAGAGTGCAGGGGAGTTACTTTATTGCTGCTTTTCTCCCTTTTACCAGGCCCTTTTGCAACTTTATCTGTTATGTACAAACTTCAAACACAAAATGCATGGGCCATTGCCACCACTCCAATCTAGCTGCTATAACTCAATGCCCACTCATCCCCTCATATTCCTTCTGTGTTTAATGCCCTATCAAGAGAAGGGTGAGGATGGTGAATGGGGAGTGATCTGACAATGAAAAAAAAATGCTGACAACTTCGAAATTACAACAAACATTACTAGAGAATGACAACAAATTAACTTAATCTACTGTAATGATTTTTTTCTTATACCACTTCAAAAAAATGGATATTATATAGCAAGACTTCACGGTATACTTTTACTGGTGTGGTAGAACAAAATACGCTGCATCTATATCTTTTTTAGTAAAAATAATAACTTCTCATAACAGCTATACTTTAGCAAGAATCTATTTGCCTGTTGGTGGCATGGATTGGAGGGCTGTGCTAAACATTTCAAATACTTTATGTACATTCTACCTCACAATAATTTGGTGAAGCAGGTTTAATGAGAACCCAGAAAAGGTAATGACTCCCCCATTGTCATTGAGATAGTAAATGGTAAAGTCAGGATGTGAATCCCTGTTTGACTCCAAAGACTTTGCAACTAAAGACTATTCTATATTGGTCAAAAGTACAATTTTTTACATTCAGTAAATATATTATTTCCTTCTCTTTAAAAACCGTGTAAACTACCCCATCACAGAAATTTTACAGGTATTGCATCTTGAGCACATTCGAAATATAGCCATAATTCCTAAAATAAATGAATAAATATTGAATGCAAATTATGTACAATACTTTTCATATGCAATATAAAGGAAAAAATGTGATCTTTGAGACTTTTTTTTACAAATTATTTTGAATTAATATTAATCAAACATCCTATCTTTAATTTTTTATGGTAAAAATAACACCCATATACATAGGCTTGGTATTATGTCCTTCCAGTTTTTTGATAATGTAAGCATGCAATATTTATGTGTAATAATGTGTTTGTAGTCAGTGTTCAGATTACTATTTTGAATTGATAAATGAGGTGTGTTTTAATTTCACCTAGACCACAATACATGAAAAATTTTATTCATCTCTATGATTTTAGATTTCTCTGAGTTTTTTCACTTAAAGATATGAAACTTCCAGACCAATGCCAAGTGGTATTGAGAGATTTCTAGTTTTGTATATCAGCTTGTAAATTTGACCCTTTACTTGTTTCCATTTTTAGGAAAACACATTGTCTACTAATATATAGAGCCATACATAGTACATTCATTGTTGAGTAGTTAATATAATAGCATGATGATAGAATTTCAGGTGTCTGGATCTCCATTAGATACTTTTGTTTCCTATGAGGGCCATCTTGTCGCTTGTTACTGATCACTTTCTGCATTCATTATGGCTTTTTGCTACTAGCATACTTCTGTATAAATTTGTATTAGCTTCTCCTGTGTTCCCTACCCGGAAGTCCCCTCCAATAAATGGAGGTGTATATGAGTGGTGTCAGAGCACTGCTTCATCATGTTGTCAAATGACTTAATACATTTAAATGATGTTTTCTTATTTGACTGTGAACTCATTACATCTTATGTTTCCTATTTATATTGCACTATCCTATGGTTCTGGGTATGCACAAAATGGTTTGTAGAACTTTTGATTGTCCTGCTGATAAACTAATAGAACATAGGAGAGAAAATAAAATAAAATAACCAAAAAATTACAATATTTGAAATCAAATCAAATTATTCTAGTGGAGAGAGTGAAGTATTTTAATTGATTTACATATCTATATAACTTTAAACAAGTTATATGGCATTATTATCTATAACTCCATATTTATCTGACAGCCTTCTGGATACTTTTATCAACTGTGTCGTCCTTTCTAATCAAGGAATGAACAAATGGATCTATCTAGCCAATAAAACTAATTTCTTTTTAAGATTTATTTATTTACACAAGAGCTGGGGGACAGGCCAGAGGCGCGGGAGGGTGAGAGACTTCACCAGAGAGAGAGGGGAGCAGAACAGGCAGATGGATGGAAGACACTGCTGAGGGGAGCAGCAGGCGAGGCAGGAGAGGTCTGCCACGCCATGTGGGTTTCTCCCTGGCCGGCCGGGAATAGAACCAGCACTGCAGAGGCTGCGGACAGCTTCACAGCGCTGTGCTCAACCTGCTGCACCACCGGGGAGGCCAAAAACTAATTTAAAATTAGTTAAGGCAGAAGATTTGTTATTCGCTGTGGAATACATGAATGTAAACTTGGTTATTAAATATGATTCAATTTTGAAAATATTACTACTTTAGCTTCAAAACTAAAATAGTTTGGGGGGGAAAGACACTAAAATAGAAGGCTGGGTAATAGTAAAACTGGTTGGTCAGTAACAAGTCTTTTTGAAGAAGTGTTCAATTCAAATATTAGAGAGAGCTTATGAATACTGGCTTTATAGATCGCAGCAGAGTCTCAGGTATAAAGTCATCTGTCTTCAGAAGTGGGATTATATAAACATTTCTAATATATAATATATAAATGTAAAGCAAAGCTATCCTTAAAAATATTTTTGACATCTTGTCTACATGTGTAGACAAGTCCTTGCGTTATCTTTATCAACAGTAAGAGACACTAAAAAATGAAATATAGTTAAATAAGCTTGTTTTAAAATAATAGATGATAATGATACCCTGTTATTTATAACAGACACAAGGCAAACTATTCTTGAATTATTAAATTGAATACATTTTCACTTAATCTCTAATTATAATACAGTTATACCATTTCAAGCTGTGACCTTGTCAAGTCTCCTAAGATAAGCAGCTGTGAACCTAGTTTGTAGTCAGATGGGAGGCTTCCTGCAAACCTCATGATGCAGAAACTGGTAGAGATGACTCAGCAGGCTATATTTCACCCTACAATGGCACATCTAAAGGCATATGCTGTCACATTGTGTCATTCACTATAAACAATTATAGGGAAGGAGTAACTTTGACTCTATTGCCTCTTCTTTGTCTTACCCCTCTCCATTTTATCAGAGGAAGGGATGTGTCAAGAGTCCAAGTTTGGAGTTTATTGTATGAAAGGGTAGAGTCAATGCTGGTCATATGCATTATGTATTCTATTGCTAATAGATGTCAATATAAATAATAACCCTGTACAAAGAATAGATCAACTACTACATTGAGGGCATTGATTAGTTAAATTGGAAAGAAGTGACTGAAAAAAAATACAAGCACCTCAAAGATATTGTTGGTTTGGTTCCAGACTAACTCAATAAAGCAAATATGGCAATCAAGTGAAACACATGGATTTTTTTGATTTTCCAGTGTATATAAAAGTCACATTTACACTATACTGCATCTATTAAATGT